AGATAATTTTCTCATCATGAACACAAGAATTCAGGATATCTTGGTGCTACTGGGCCTCAAATATCGAGTCCAGAACCCATGTGTGAATATTTAATAATTAAATTTTGTATAATTATGAAAATTAATTATTTAATTTATAAACAAACATATAAAATAATAAAACTAACATGTAAAATAATAAAACTAACATATTAAAGTAAAATAAAATCTCGGACTTGCCAACCTGGATCTACTGTTGTTACTGGGCGATCATAGGTCGTCACACATATGGGAGGGACAGTTACTGGCCCAGACGTTCCGTGCCAGGAGAGTAAACGATATGTGAGGCTTTCTTAGGGACCACCCTCTCTATCCCCGTATAGTCAGACGCCTCCAGGATACATGCTTTTATAGGATTGCGTAGATCGGCCGACTACATCTTGATTGGTCGTTGATGACCCTGATAGAGCGGTGGCGACCGGAGACACACGCATTCCATTTGCCCATTGGCGAGACCACTATCACGCTTCAGGACACCCTGTTGCTTTGCTGAATGCCATCAGAGAGTACGGGTTTGCACTACATGGAGATGCTGCAGCGGCTCACCGATTTCCAGCCACCGGATGAGACTGCACTGGTTGGGGTCAGTTGTCTGCAGTTGACGCCCGTCCAGCAGTATTTGGAGGCATTGCACACCGACATCACAAATGATACACCAGAGCTTCATATTCACCGTTACACGAGGTTACTGCTCCTTCTTATGTTTGGAGGGGTTTTGTTCCCGAACACTTCGGGGAACCTAGTCAGCTTGAGATTTCTTCATCATCTTGAGCGGCTAGATGATTTACATCAGTACAGCTGAGGTGTTGCTGTTCTCGGTTACTTGTACATGCAGATGTGTCGGGCGTGCATGATGACGTTGCTGAATTTTTACCGCTGCTATAGGTGAAAACATAGTTGAATACTCTATTCATTATAACATATCCAGTAAACATATACCTTAAATTTTACGTCCACTTTGTATATTAGGTTTGGGCTGGGAGCGATTCCTGCAGTTGACACCATCTCTACCACCCTTAGCTCCGGGTGTACGACCTCCGTTTCTCCCTCTAGCTAGGAGGTGGGCTGATAGTTCAAACACAAACTCTGTCCAATTCTAGCAAACATGATTTGTAGTATTCCTGGTTAATGTGTTCATCATACCATTCCTCAAACATACAATGATTTCCGTCATTGCGTCCAAATAATTGTTGACACATCCAGAATCTGTGCCCAACATTACCATCGGACCAACATGCCCTCAAAATCGCACGTTTGCCACAATAGCACCTTGGTTGGTCATTGCGTCCAGACATTTGTTAATGCAAGAAAAATGAAAAATTTATGGAAAGTTTTGCTATTTATTTTTGTTAAGCGCAAATAATAACTAAAATGCGCTAGTTATTTATAGGCAAGACAACCCATATAACGTAGTATTTCACCGCGCTATGCTTCGCGTGTTAAAGATTCTTTCGGGTACAAAATAACTTTTCGAGAAGATAACTTTTGCAGGCGAGCAGCTTTTCACGTCGACAAGACAACACACATAACGTAGTTGGATACCGCGCTATGTTTCGCGTGTTAAAGATTCTTTCAGGTACAATACAACTTTTCCAGAAGATAGCTTTTGCAGGCGAGCAGCTTTTTCAGGTCGATAAGACAATTGTTTTTTTTAAAATGGGTTTATGTTAGATTGTTGTACCGAAGTATATCAATAAGATTTAACAGCAATAGAAACATAATTTTATTTCATACATTCTGTAAGATAAACAAGTACATACACCTATTATAACCACATTACGGAAACAAAACACTACGTGTATCCTTGATAGTTGGACACATTAGATGAACTTCCACCAGGAGTTGGATTACCACCGCCACCCAAACCAGCTGAAGGACATTTACGACGATCGTGTCCTGTTTGCGAGCATATGCCACATATGCGCGCATAAACGATATCACCAACATCTATTTGGTTCCGTATACACGTTCTTTTTTGCACATGTCATTGACGTACATAGTCCTTGTTACACACCATTTTAAATGGTTCCGGCGGCCAATAATGCTCAGCACCCACTGGCTGCAACTGCCCACTATAGGTGTTTAAGTAAGCAGCAACACTATATTCTTTATCAACGTAGTTGGTTGCCCCTAAACCTGTATGTTGAAAGCACTTGATGGCATGTGAGCACGACAAGTGGTAGATGGACCATTTCCCACAAGAGCATAACCTTCTGGCTTCATTTACGAGGTGTGTATTATTCCCCTGGTTGTGATGGATAGCGGTGCGAACTTCAAAAATATTTCGCTCGTTGCAATACTGCAAAAATGAATGCCAATGTGCTCGCTTCCTGTATTTCTCAAATCTTTTCATTGGTATTAGCATAAATTCAACACCTCTTTCCATCAATGACGATGCATCTCTAGCCCTTTCAACAAACCTCTCTGCCATCTGCTTGAATGACATCCGCACCATGGCAGTGACAGGCAATCCTCGTGCAGACTTCAATAACCCGTTGAAAGACTCTAACACATTTGTAGTCAGAATTCCCCATCTTCTACCACCATCCGCATGCAAAGTCCACTTGTCAAGCTCATGTCGCATCAACCAACGATGGGCTCCCTCATCTTCCTGCCTGATAGATTCCATGCGCCTCCTGAATTTACACTCTTGGTGATCTATTGCAGCCATCCACATTAAATCATGCAAATCCTTGTTGGGATATGCCTTCTGGAAATTGGCCTTTAGGTGCCTCACACAGTAACGATGGTAGGTATACGGTTCCTGCCATGCACGCAAATTCTGTCCATAACTTAAAATACCACTATCCCGATAAGATATTAGACAAATACCTGAACGCTGTTTGATAACGTGCTCTTTCAAGTGGTTCAAAAATAGTGTCCACGTCTATTGGCTTTCATTGGCACAAATAGCAAAAGCTAAGGGTAGCATCTACTGCAACAACGATCAACAACTTAATATCATACTTACCATAGACATGAGTGCCGTCTATGGATATTACCGGCCGGTAATGCAGAAAACCATCAATTGCTAGTTTAAATGCCCAGAACACATATTTGAATATATGTTCTCGTATTCCCGGACTCTGCTCAAACTTTCATTCAACAACAGTCCCGGGGTTAAAGTGCTACAATGCGGCCATGTACCTAGGTAGAGATGCAAATGACTTATCCTAGTTACCATAAACAATTTCAAACGCACGTTTGCGCCCGAGAAATGCCTTTCTTTTGATAATGGTGCACCCATATTCCAGGAGGACGGATGTAATACACTCTTTGATCTTGTACCTTATGGAAGTCAACATCCAAGTTGAAGCGATTCCCATTGAATATGTCCATTTCACAATTGTGGGTGCCAATATATTTACCCACAACCCACATATTTGATTTTTTCTTCGCACGCAGCATTCAATTACAACCCGTAAATCATCTACGGCAAACAACCTTGTATACATCCGGAGTTGACTCCCATCCCTCATCTCACGACACTCTTTTACGCTGTACATTCTCACCGTCCTACTTAGGCGCGCTTTATCAGGAAGGTTGTAAATCATCTACGGCAAACAACCTTGTATACATCCGGAGTTGACTCCCATACCGTCATCTCACGACACTATTTTACGTTGTACATTCTCACCGCCTTGCTTAGGCGCGCTTTATCAGGAAAAAAATACCCTTTTACAGCAACGTTGGTCTAGACTCATCCCACATTGCTGTCCGAATTTCGTCAGTATCCCTTGTGAGGGCATCCACATCCGGCATACTTGACAAATGATCAAGGTAGGGAATCTCCCTGGAATGAAATGGCACGTGAGACTCGTACACTCTTGGTCTAACGGGGGGTGGACCATGCTCCCTCGTCAAATCAGTTCCAACTTTCTCTTCCTCCTCATCATCACCGTCATCAATCATCAAGGAAGGGTGTGTCATCTTCGGACTCATCGGCATTGTTGTCATAATCACTGTTCTCTTCCTGACTCTGTGCATCTGCTAGATCCCGATTAAATATGTCGTCTTCGGGCAATTGAGTAAGGACAAGACGTTCAAGTTACTCGTTTTCACTGCACAACCAACAAAATAATGAGTTATTCAAATTGATAAATATTTACATATAGCTATATCACTTCACTTACAAATCGTAATGTGTTGACATCCCATGATGAACATTATCCTGTTGGTGATACTCCAGGATTGACCACCATGATCCAACACACCAGAACTACGCATATTCTAACTGGGCGTTGGTTCATAACTTATAAAATTCATATCTGGCCAATACCCCCTGTAAAATATATGAGTGTTAATACAAATTCAATACAGCAAAAATAAAGATTGTAACACAAAGAAAAATTAAAGTTTACCACTCGTCTTGTGGATCATGTAAAGTAGGAGAGAAATTATTTCCTCAATCCTCATTCGCCCGTGGAGATAAATTTAGATCAGGCCAAACTCTTTCAGCCGGAACCTGTTCGGCTAAAACTGCTCCAAAATAACCACCCGATGACTGAGGATATCCCTGCTTTGCGCAACCTCATTATTGCGAACGTCTTCAACCTTGACGTACATTTCCAACATTTTTATCATAAGAAATTTCCGATATTTATCCGGAGTCCTCAAAAAATCTCTCAAAGTTTCATCGTCCTCGATGTTAAACTCAGCATAACAAGCAACCCCTTGCATAGTGACATAATACAGGTATCTCCCGGTTACTTTAAGGTTCACCGAATGTTTGCTCACACTCATTTTTTTACATAACGATACCAATGTATCATACTCCATTGTAAGTGGCAACTTAACATGACACGGTGGAGATAAACTATAGGTTACTGAGTTATTCACCACCATAACCTCACCCCCCCAATATAATGAAACCCTTACTTTTCGCTCTTCAGACATTATGACAAAATGCAAACAACTTAACGAAAAAATATTTCAGAAGACTTCGAATATTTGTGAATGGATTTTTAGAAAATTCTTAACCTACTTAAATAGGGCAAAAACCAGTCCGGGGGTACAATTAAATAAGGGCGTTATACCCATTTGAATTATTGTTATGTCAGTTAAGCCCAGAAGAATTATTGGTGGGCCCACAAAATATGTATAGCGCTTTAATAAACAGCGCTATACTCTCTTCAAGTTGAAGTTTACTCTCTTCACCATCTTTTTTTTCCACGCATTTCGGACGTTTGAGTCAAAAAATACCACATTTTGGTTCCGGATTCGCATGTGAGTTGTGAGGAGACAAGTGACTGCTGAATTTGGTTTTAAAACACGTCATTCCTGTCTTTCCATTCAGAATAAACAAAGATTTGCAGCAGGTACACATGGAATACTGAATTCTTTTCTGCAGCAATCAAGAACTTCAAACGGAAATGCCAGAACACACCAGTTTATATATGACCAGTTAGTGAATGCACCCATAAAAGCCCGACACAGACGATTTGTTGTTCCTCCAAGGCATATTCCAGGAAGAGGGCCTCCTTAAGCAAATACTGTCTGATTAGTTCCATCAAAACTGAAATATGTACTAGCAGCTTAATTCATTCTGGCTTCTTAAGGTTCAGGCAGTTATCCGTTGCTTGGTTAAACAACTCCTGAACCTGCTTTAGCTCCTTTTCTAAATCAACAAAATCAAACTGAGTCTCAGAATAAACAAAAAATAATAATATTTTAAGATACATAAACATTTGGACCTTAGCCTAACTAGAACAACTTTGACCACTCTCTCAGAAGGAAAACAAATACATGAATGCTTTCTTCCACCACAAATTCTGCAGTTAAGTAAAGGATATAGGTGCTGTGGAAGACTGATTAGATGGAAGTTATGCTCAATCAGTTCACAACCATCTCGGTCTGCATGTGCATAGCCATGTATTGTGTAAAAATGCCTCCCAAAACCAAAATTATGTCAGATACACTAGGAATAAATCCTTACCTGCAGCTTCCAGTTGCTTTTGAAGTTCTTGGCCAACTGCATCGTTCTCAGCCTACATCACATACAGAGAGTAAGAGTTATTGGGTACAATGCAGACAAAACAGTTAGCCCAAAAACGTAATAACAGATTAATCTTCATTTATCCTTTTCATTTTTTAATTTAACTACATAGAGGTTTTGTTTCAGTAAGTATATGGCATTGGAATTAGAGTAAGACGGAGCATCATCTTGCTCAAATGTCATATGTCAAAACATTATTTATGAGAAGCTTATACCTGGAGTTCTGCAATTCTTTTTAATTGGGCTTCTTCACCCCCATCTGATAAAGGAAGAGCAGCAACCAATGCATCAAACTGTCCAGTAAAAGAACAGAAGAAAAATGTTTTCAAGAATACGACAACATTGTAGCAAAGCTACAATTTAAGAGCACATTGCAATAGGTCGAAATTAAGAGCCATGCAATCTTCAAGGCTACTCTCAAGTGCCATCTGTGCATCTTAAGTTTGGTGGGATGCTAGATCAGACAACCTCTGATTGTGAGGACAAGATGAAAACAAGGGAAATATAATTGTGAACTTGAAAACCTTAGAAATAATGAAAAGTGTGTCCATATATTTCACTGAAGACAGCTAAAGGGCCACAAGCTAGAATTCAATTTTCTGGTTTTGAAGAACCAAGCATTACCCGATGAGACTTAGCCTAGATGTTATGGTTTAACTCCTGAGGCTGAGAGCAAGTTCTCAAGTTAAAGTCCCTAGAGTAATGAGATTCTGTTCAACTAGAAGTTGGAATTTGCCCACCATTATGTGAATAAGTCAGGTTTTAATTTGAGTAGTTTGTGATGTTAATAACATTATTATATGTGTTGTTAAAATAAAGGACAACAGACTTAGGTCTTTGAACTCAACCACACTGGTCTCAAGACTCAACAAACAAAGACTTGATGTTATCTGGTATAGAACAGCATGTACACAATAGATTGGATGAGCCATGAAACATAAATATCCCCATGATATGCATAAAGGTCCACAAATAAGATATTATAAGGATTTGATGTACTAAAAAATACATAGACTAGTCAAAGGAAGACGAAAAGACATTATTTGACCAGAAAAAAAATTCAATATTCTAGGAATCCTGGATATTTTCAAAGTACATGCAGAAGATCCATATAAATGTGGCTTGCTCATCTTAGTTGATAACCTTGATCTATAAGCATACGAGGGTGTTATAGAAAGAAAATGTGAAGGTAAGTGTACCTGCTTGGCAGCCTTAACAAAAGCAGCACTCATTTGCTTTGGCTGCTCTGCAACATTGGTTGCATCCTCTGTAGGATTAGCAGGAGGAGGTTCCGGATAATTAGGTGACAGACGAACAGGAGGGGCATCCCTCTGAAGGGTACCAAAGGTGTTGAAAGCAAGAGCTGCAATGGTATTTACTTGCTCCTGTAGCTGTGATATTATATCCATCTTGTGGATCCTTCCCTAAGTTCCTAAAAAATGGTGAATATAGATTTTAAAACGATTGCCTATATATATTGAGTACCAATGATTCAGGGCTACTGTTATTTTCATCAATAACCATCACTCACGCATCAGTCACGGATAAACTTTTCAAAGAAGATATAATCAGATAACAAATTTCAAATTGCTTTTGGTAAGTTATCACAACAGCAGAAAAGACAGTTTTTTATGACACTAATGTAGATTTCACCACGAAGTTGCTGATTGTTTCTCAAGCTATCAAACTCTACCAGAACTGGTTTTATTATATATCTTACAAGACTTGAAGCAGTTGATGGTTACTAAGTCACATAAAATCTTATCATGTTGTAATCTAATGAGTTATTCCTAGTATATCTCATGTAGTAGTATCAGAGCATGGACACTCTAACTTAGCTTTTTAGTTGGTTATCACACACAATATTCTTGTAGTTGTTCCTTTTCTGAAATGAGATTAGTCACAATTCCGGCCCAGCTTAATGAGGGGGTTGCTAGAAACAATGTTTTTAAAAGCAAAAACTGCAAAAAGCGATATCATCCATGGGGGTTGAAGCGAAAAGTGAGAAATGAAGCGCACAAGTCACATAAAATAAAAATTACCAAACATACATGAATTTATTACTATAATAATCAAAGTGCAACTAAAATAAATAATTTTAGCGACAATCTTACAAGATATTAATCCAACTTCTCAAACTTGAGATTCAAACAATCTACCGCATTAGGATCAGTGGATCACTTTGGGTATCTTTGTTCGAAGGATAACCCCTTGCTTCAGATCCTCTTTAGAAGATGAACTGATTGATTTTAACAGCACCGGCTAGATATGCCATTAAGTGCTACAAGACCAAAAGAACAATGATTTCTTGAGGTTTTATGCTAGAAGCAAACTGTCAAGTGCACTGTTTATCAAAAGCACACAACTTGAAAACAAGAAGAATTTACTATAATACTTAGTTAATAACTAGAAACCAAACCCACTGCATAACTCAGGAAATCTTGTGGTTAGAATTTTCAGAAAATTTACTTCTTAATCCTTGAAAGCAAATTATACCATCAAAATTTAAGCTATTATATCATGGGAAGCAAATAAGAACATATATTAACTTGTAAAAATCACAAGGAACAATGATTCCATCATAGGACTAGCATCACATAACCGAAAATAAACAGAGAAAACCAAATGTCCAAATACGTAAGAAAAGTATCTCCATTCACAAATTGGCAGAATTTACTCAGATCATTCACTTATGTTCTGAGCTCCCGACAAAAGTACTGAAATTATCTGCGGTTCTTAGCTGTTAATACAGATGAATATATATATATATATATATATATATATATATATACACACACACACACACCATAAAGGTGGAACTTTTCCTCTGCATTTCAACTAGTTAGGCCCTTTTCACTCTGCATCTTTATTCTTTTTAACCCATGCTTTCTTTCAATCAACTAAATTTCTTTACACTTCACTACTCATAAGGGACGGTGGTATCTGATCCAATAACAATACAAATATACAATAAAAGAACTCAAATAAAAGAAGAATCTTTTAAACTAATCATAATTCACAGACACTTCGAATTCAGAGTTCAGATATGTAGCATTTCCCTTAACAGGCATCAAAATTACATCTTTTAGCAATCAAAAAATTGCAACTAGGAAATTCAATTAAAAAAAAAATGCCATCATACCAATAGCACAAAACCAAAGATATGCAAAAGCAAAATACACCAACAAACAGCATATAAAAACGTTTCTGAAGATCCTTGGATGCAATTACCCAATAAAAACTACAAACTATAGTAGTACATCAACAAACATAAAGCATAAACGAGATTGAACTGTACTCAGAAAATTGAATGCAGTAAAAAGGCAAAACCCCACAAGATAATTGGATCAGAAAATCGAAATACATAAAATTTGGAAGAGCAAGAAGACACTGACCTATGCAATGTGAAAAGTGGGGTTCTGCAAGAAAATTGTAGAAGCAAACACAGTAATATAATCTACCTTTACTAGAATTTGCGTTGTTCAGCGAGGAAGAAAGGGCATGTTCGCATTTGGGCTTAATTTGGTTTGTTTTAAAGGGACTGTTCGAATTTGGGCTTAACTTGGGTTTGGTCCAAGATCCACTAATGCGAACATATTTGAGTAAAATAGCAGGGGCTAGCCAGTTTTCAGACTGGTAATTCAAAAATAGCCAGCGTTTACAAAGTCATAGCCACTATTTTGCTGTAATACGGACCGGTACAGCATAATATACTGGAGATTGGTGCACATGTGTATGAACTTGCAGCATATTATGCTGGAACTCCAACACGCGGAAAGTTCCAACACAATATACTGGAGATTTGAGCACTTGTGTATGAACTTCCAGCATATTATGCTGGACCGATATATTATACTGAAATTTCAGTATATTATGCTGGAATATTTTTCGAATTTTGAACAGTGTTTTCGTTCAGATTTATCGTTACATGAAAAGTGGCTAAATTTCGAATACTTTTGAAACTGTGGCTATTTTTCAATTACCACTTATAAATCTAGCTATTTTTGAATTTCTCCCATATTTGACTATGCATGGTGTTTAAAGGGAAAAAAAGAACTATTGGAACTTGAGATTTTAAATATATTATAATTATTTTATGAATATAAAATCATATCTTTAAGAGGAACATATAATATTTGGAATTATATTATTTTTAAATATAAAAAAATATGACTTTTTTAAATAACTTAGAAAGAAAATAATGTCTGAAAGAGATGGTCCCATGAGTCACAAATACTATTCAATTCAAAAAATATCTCATATAATAGAGTGTATATATTTATAGTCATAAAGATTACTAGTAGGGATAGACCGGGCTTTGCTTGGGCCCAACGTGAACAAAGCTATGGTGTTGCAAATAGAGGTACAGTGACAATATATGTAAGGATGAGCTTCTGCCCAACGTAAATAAAGTTATGCTATTGTAAATAGAGGTACTGTGATAATATCTACTAGGATGAGCTTCCACCCAGAGGAGAAATAGAAAATTACGGAGTTACTATAGAAACCATAATGCTAAAGTAATATGGCTTTTCAGCCGCAAATGATATGGATCTGAAAGACAGCAGCAGCTACAATTGCTGTCAACAAGATGAAAAACTACTATGTAAAATAAACTATAACAGTGAAATAAATTAGCCATTAACATAACTTTATGAATCAATTTTTCATGAAAACACTTATAGATCATCAAGCACATTTGGTGTAGGCATGACTTTGTTACTTTAGTATGTAGTTAAACATTATGCCTAAGAAGGAATTGACTAACCAGTTTTACGCTATATTTTGAAAACAACATAAGTAGCACATATATAAAATAGGAAAAACTAAGGATGAAGGAAACAACAAGGTAGATACCGACTACTGAGCAAAACCGAATTTCATCAGGCTGGTAAATGAATAGCATCACAAAAAGTGTAAAAAATATAATTGCTTAATGACCGGAAAGAATATCACACAAGTCCTGCTGGCAACAAAAAATCACATGTAGTATTATCACATGTTCCTAAGTTTTTTTTTTGAATAAGAGCAAATGTCTGTAACAATCATTCAACAACAAAAGTTCATTTATATAACAAGAATGCAAGATGTAAGGCTATGCAAAGGCATTTTCAAATTCCACATTTGCCTCAAACAAGAGGGATACGGATTTCTAAACTGATGAGGTCTAAATCATGTGGCCAATCCACTGGATATCTATCAATTTTAACTAAGTAGATATTGGTAGAATAAGGTGATCTATAAAGTTAATGACATCTCCATGAATTTGGAATGACAAATCGAAGAAAAAAGGATCCTTTTTGTCTATCTTAGTCTTTCATGCTCTCACTTTTTCTCGCTTGCCCTTCTTATTTTGTTGTGCCCCTCATCGAATCATCCACATTTCATAATCAATGTGAAAAGAAGCAAACATGCATATTTGTATATATAGTTTTGGAACAAAAGCACTTCGAGAAAATTAAATTAAGTAGTACGTATGAATAGGACGTGGTGAGACCTATCGCTAGCATTGCCAAAAGATTAGACTAAGACAAACCTCTTTTTGTAATAACTGACGTCTCTGGATCATGTGGTTGATTTTGATATATTGATGTTGTACTTAATATGCAAATCATTATAATCAATACATGAAAAATATTATAACTCAAAATTCGAATACGGAGTAGTGACCAGTTATCATTTCCTTTGACAGAGTCAACTATTGTGCCATCTGCAGAAGATGTATTAGCTATTGTAGGAGTAAAAATATAGCTTAACATTAGGAATATATATGTCTGACTACAATCATTAAAACAACACACATCTTTGTAGATACCTAGAATATGAGTTCAAGCAAATAATATGCCTTCTCTTAGAAAATCCAGAAGAAAATAAAGCCAACATTATTCACTGGGATACTTTTACCTAGTTAAATCATCATGAATTTTTCTTTTCATAAGAGCATTATCAGATTAGTAACTAAATTATGATAAGCTAAATTTACGACAGCCCCAAAATAAGAAGTCATAGGCAAAAAGTCAAAACAATGAAGAACTAAATCTTAGAGATAGAAAGAAATTATCAGAAGGCTAATTTTGTTACCCTGTACTTTTCTTTGAACATTAGGTTACTTCAATGCAATCTAAACTTGGAGCGTGGTAGCATTAGTCAAATGTGGAACATAAACTGATTATTTCATTTTGACGTGTAAACAAAAGAAATAAAATAAAGGTATCTTACATTGCAACTCTTTTTGGAACAAACTATATCCTTTTTAAGGTAGTAATGTATACCTTTCATTTCTTCAACACCATTTCTCCAAATAAATGAATTAGGATGTTCATCAATGCGGGCAAACCATAATTTTCAACTTGAAACAAGTCATAGCAAAAGCATAAAATAAATTAGTAAAAACTTCAGATACTACAACAAGCGCATCAGACTAATTTTTGAATTTTTCATCACATCGATACCATAATTATTAAGCATTGCTTTTAATAAATCAAACGACACCAAACAGAAACACACAATTCATATATAAATCAAGATATTACAATGTGGAAAATATAAATGGAGATAACAAAGATCCTACAGAAATGCTAAATATTCTATTTTCTCAACATTACAACATACGAGCAAAACTCAAGGAAAAAGAATTAAGATGTCACGACCCAAAATCCCACCACAAGCATCCTTATGATCGCGCTTTAACTCTGCTCAAATCCGATATCTCCAATACCTGGCTCTGCACAAAAATATGCAGAAGTGTAGTATGAGTACACCACGGTCGGTACCCACTAAGTATCAAGACTAACCTCAATGGAGTAGAGACGAAGTGTAGTCAAGACACTCACTAGTCTAATAACCTGTGCGATATAATATACAAAATAATAGGAAACAAATAATAATAAGGGCAACATAAAACAACCGATGATATGCACAGTAAGACAACAAAATCACCATTTAATATCGCTCAACAATTAATAAATATAATTACACCCAGTTAACTCAAGTTCTTCAATTAAATATCTTTCACATATAATTCTTACGAACAAAACTCTTTTTCAAATATATTTTCGTCGAATAAATATCTTTCAAATATAATTCTTTCATATAATTCTTCTTGAATAAAAATCCTTTCAAATAAATATTTTGAATATAATTCTTTCGATTAAAGAGTCACCATGTGACACCTCATTTCAAAATTATAAAAACACGGGTCACAGCCTATTTTCATATTTTTCGTAAACATGGGTCTCAACCATTTTTCATATTTCCACGGTACCTCGTTCCCATAATTAAATTATCATATATTCCCGGCACCTCGTGCCCTCATTTCATATCACAACTGCATATTTCATCACAACACCTCGTGCCCACATTTCATATCACAACTGCACGGACAATTCACATGTCAAATATCCTCATTATTTACTCATGGTACCTCGTGCCCACAATTCATTTTATAATCCGCCTGGCAATAGCCACATGCTCTCAATTTCAACATAAATCAGATTGTTATCAATTTACCAACAAGAAGACAAATTGTACAAGGTATAAAATAAACACAAGAAAATCACAACATCACATGAAAATCATCAACGCCACAACCCCACATCATCACATATCGTCCCTGACAATAGCTACCCTTATCGCTCTTATTGCCACCCTTATCGCTCTTATAGCCACCCTTATCGCTTCGCCCAGACAATATCAATAGCCACCCTTATCACTCCTATTGCCACCCTTATCACTCCACTCAGACAATATTCTAACAACCACAACCACAGTGAAATGTCACCCTTATACCCACATAATATCAACGGTGAAATGCCACCCTTATATCTTCAAAATAGTAATTAACACAACACAATAATTTACACGAAAAATTATCACGGCAATATAACAAAATCAATTCATATCACAATTTGTCCAATAGCTACAACCAAAATTTCAAAGATACAACCAAGTCAATTAATTTCACAACAAATAGCCGAAGGCTCCACACAATGTGTACAACACCCAAAAATAATCAACAGAGATAGAAATTACTCAACATAAAGCAAAGTCTTCATTAACTCCAAATTTTCAATAATTATATAAATACCTCTTCTTAAGATCATTTAATTAATTATTTACAGAGAAAAAAATCCAAAATAAAATTAAATTCCAATAATTATCAAACCAGAAAATTCACGGTATTTCATAAATAATCAAAAAATAATTACATCAAATTGTCATATAACAATAGAGTCAACAATAAGGATTTAGGCACGACAAATAGATGATTAAATATATGCCGACAATTATCCAATTTACTATACAATATGCTCAAGACTTTAACTCAATAAAATTTGCACATATAACCCAAGTACGTACTCGTCACCTCGCGTACATGGTTTTCAATTACACAAATTGTACATAAGACTCAATGCCTAAGGGAAATTCCCTCACTCGAGGTTAAGCAAGACACTTACCTCTTTGAAGTTATGCTGATATTCCAAAATCGCCTT